AGTCTCACTCCGCCGCCCAGACTGGAGTGCAGTGGCCGCTCCCGGTCACCGCAGCCTCTACCTGCTGGGCTCCGGTGATCCTTCCGCCTCAGCCTTCCAAGTAGCCAGAACTACAGGCGTGTGCTACCACGCCTGGCTCATTTTTTGATTTATTGTAGAGATGAGATCTTGCCAAGTTGCCCAGGCGGGTCTCGAACCCACGGGCTCAGGCAATCCCCTCACCTCAGCTTCCCAAGGCACGGGATTACAGGCTGAGTCACCGAGCCTGGCTAAGAAAACATTTTTAAAAAATTATCCAGGCATGGTGATGCACACCTACAGTCCCAGCTACTTGGGAGACTGAGGTGGGAGGAACACTTGAAGTCCAAGAGGTTGAGGCTGCAGTGAGCTATGATTGTACCACTGTACTCCTGCCTAGGTGACAGAGCAAGACCATGCCTCAAAAAAAAGGAAAAAAATAGGGACCCAAGACTTCCACACCTGTCAGACCACAGCCTCAGTTGTAGCCCAAAATATCAGCTCCACAGGGTCAGAATGTCACTCTGTTTTTCCACTAATCCATCCCCAGAGCCTATATGGGTATCTGACATGAAGCAGCAGCTTGACAAATATTTGTCAGAGAAGTGGCTAGACATTCGGGGGGTCAGAGGAGGGAACCCAGAGCATCTAGTCTGACCTGAGGCCCGTAGCAGGGAAGAGGGCCCTGCCCAGGGCTTCACAGCAGAGGTGGCACCAATCCAGGTCTCCCTGCACCCAGTCGTGGGCTCCCCTGAGAGGACTTGTGCCCTCTCAAAGCCTGCATCCAAGTATCCAAGGTCTAGGTTGCAGCCTGAGAAGTCACATTTCTTTTGAGTCAGTGTCTCACTCTGTCACCCAGACTGGAGTACAGTGGCACGATCATGGCTACCACAGCCTCGATCTGCTGGCCTCAGGCAAACCTTCCACCTCAGTCTCCTGAGTAGCTGGGACCACAGGGGCACACCACCACACCTGGCTAAGTTTTTGGTTCATCGTAAAGATGAGATCTTGCCATGTTGCCCAGGCTGATCTTAAACTCCTAAGCTCAGGCAATCCTCTCACCTCAGCCTCCCAAAGTGCTGGGATTATGGGTGTGAGCTACCACACCCGGCTAGAAGTTGCATTTCTAACAAGTATTTGGGTGTTGCTGCCGGTTTAGAAACCCTCTCCTTACCTCCCACACACCCCACCTTTGCCTGGGTTGGGAACCACACAAGGGAGGTGACCAGGAAGGCTTGTCCTTGAGCACTGGGTCCTGCGGAGACCACAGCCCCCAGGAAGCTTGGTCGAAGGGAGCCAGGACTGACCCGCCTCTCCAGCCCTAGCCCAGCTCATTCCCGCTTGTGTCAGGACAAAGCTCCCCCCAAAAGGGCCCTCCCAATCCCAAACGTGCCAGGTCTTGCCAGTCTCTGTTTCCCCACCTCCCAGGGCATCCGGCTCCCCATTCATCATCTTCTCGCCTAAACCCTATTGGCTCCCACCTCCAACGTCTAGCAGAATTTCTGACCTGGCCTTCTCAGCCAACCACCCCCCACTCCCCTCCCAGAATGCCTCCTGCCTTCCTAATTAATACCACACTGTTTAATGCCTAATTGTTTCAAAATTGTTTCCCAAGTTTGCCTTATCGCCACAGCTACGTCTTACATTCCTCACAGAAGGGGATCTCACGGAGCACCGCTCTATGGCCACGATGCCTGGCTGGTCCCTGGCGGGCACACAATGGTCACCAGGCAGGGAGTCCCCTCCCGGGGCAGCCTCCCGTTTCTACTACCCTCCCTCCCCCAGCCGCCCCTAAAGGATCTGCTTTCTGGAATGTACAGTCAGCTGGAGGTAGGTTCCAGCAGCTGGGCCACATCCCCTTCGCCCCAAAAGCTGGACATGCCCCCTACCCCGCGCCGCCCCCAGCAGCTGCAGCCCAGGGCTGTTGGCCACCTCACTCCCCCCCACTCCACCCCTGCCCTTGGAGAGGAGAAGTCCCAAGGGGTGGGTGGCAGTCAGGCTGTCAC